CCCCACAAAAAGAAAGATGTTTACTTGTGTTATATTGACTGTATCAAGGTATTTGACCATGTGAACTATAACAAACTATGGATAGCCTTGAGAAAAATGGGAATTCCAGAACACTTCATTGTGCTCATGTGGAACTCGTGCATGGATTAAGCAGCAGTTGTGTGAATAGAACAAGGGACTACTGAGTGCTTTAAAACCAGGAAAGATGTGCGTCAGGGATGTATAAAGAATGTAGCATGAAGATTGGAAGAAGCATATCAAAAACCTGTGATTTTTAGATCACACCTTGCTTACTGAAAGTGAAGAGGACTTGAAGTACTTGCTGATGAAGATCAAAGATAGCAGTCTTCGGTATGGATGTAAAGAATCAATATAAAGAAGACCAAAATCAGCACAACTGGACCAATAGGTAAAATGATAAATGGAGAAAAAATAGGCATTGCCAAGGATTTCATCTTGCTTGGATATACAGTCAACGCCCATGAAAGCAGTAGTCAAGAGATCAAATGATGCAATGCATCTGGTAAATATGATGCAGACCTCATTATAGAGTACTGAAAAGCAAGGATGACAATTTGAGGACTAAGGTGTGCCTGATCCAAGCCATGGTATATTCAATTGTCTCAAATGCATGTGAAAGTTGGACATCGAATAAGGAAGATTGAAGAAAAATGATACCTTTGAATTATGGTGCTGGCAAAAGAACAAACAAATCTGTCTTGGAAAAAGACAGCCAGAATGCTCCTTAGAAGCAAAGATGGTGAGACTTTGTCTTATGTACTTTGGACTTGTAATTAGGAGAGACGAGTTCTTCAAAAAGAACATCAAGCTTGGTAGAGGAGCATTGAAAAAGAGGAAGGCCCTGGACAGAATGAATTGCCACAGTGGTTGCAACAATGGGCTCAAACACAAAGAAGAGTTGTTAGGATGGCATAGGATCAGGCCATGCTTTGTTCTTACGTACATAGGGTCACTATGAGTGAGAACTCTCTGGACAGCACCCAATTACAACAGCAGCATCTGTTTCATTGCCCCCAAACATGAGCAGAGTCATCCAAAATTGGGAGTCACACACACAGCACCACGTATGCCTGTTTAACGGCTAGGAGACATTTCTGTCTTCCTCCCTACGACAAATAATTGCATTCACACCAATGTTGTGGAAAGGAAAGTCAAGCAGACGCACAGGCAAAGTGTCCCACATGCCTTTGTAGGTTGGTCTTATAAAATACTGCTGCTGCATTTTCCAGGGTAGATAAACCATCAGAGTAGGTGTACTCTAGCCGGAAGAGCTCACACACACCCAGTGCCATCAAGTTGATGGTGACTTATAATGACCCTGTAAGGACACAGTTCCGTAGGGTTTCTGAGACTGTGTGTCTTCATGGGAACACACATCCTCATCTTTCTCCCTCAAATCTCATGGGGAGTCTGAACTGCAGACCTTATGGTTTGTAGCCCAACATTTAACCAGCTATGCCACGAGGGTATCTTTGAGAACCTTAAAGCACTGTAAAGGCAAAGTAGAAAAAAACAAACCCTGGGTTCTTAGAATATTGTTTGGTGAATTCACCCAGAATTTTGCAAGCTCATCAGAAAAACTGAGATGAGTACAAAAACAAAAACTAATCCCAACCCCCAAACTAGTTGCTGCCAACTCTTAACTCTTGACTTGTAAAGCCAGCCATTCCCTCTTTACCTGCAAGTCTGAGTGTGACCCTCCTTTCAACATTAAATTGTCAAGAGTAGAACTGTGCTCCATACAGTTTTCAGTGACTGATTTTGTGGAAGTAGATCACCAGGCCTTTCTTCTAAGGTGCCGTTGAGTGGACTGGAACCTCTAATCTTTCAGCTAGCAGTTCGGCAAGTTAACCATTTCAATCACTCAGGGACTTTGAAGTATATACAGGATGCCCTTGCCTTCAAGGGCTGGTTTGCTGAAGTTCTCATCTCAGGGGCTTCACAAATGTATTTGGAATGTGTCCGCCCCTAGCTTCACCTGTTGAGTTTCTATTCATCCATTACATTTGACAAAAATTTCACTTTGAGAGTTTTTCAAATATACCCTTGATGTAAACTGAATTTTTCCTGTTATATTTTCTGAATGCTCTATACTTTTCTAGCACTGAACTATGGTGGTATATGCAGTATGCATTATCTTCAGACTAATTGTAGCTTCCACAATACCTGATACATAGCAGTGGCTCAATAAAGACTGGTTACTGGGAACAGGCAGTTTTTTGTCTTTAAAATGAATGGTCTGATCTTGGACTTGTCTAACCTCTACTTAAGGATTGTAAAGTTTGAAATTTAAAACTTTATCATAAAAATAACAAGAAATTGTAGATACACTGTTTTGGTAACATACTTTTATAGTAGCGCTAAAGGTAGAATCCATTTAAGTAAAAAAAAAAAATGCCATTGACGTAAGAATAGATACAGCAAAGTGTGGTGAAGAAAGCAGATGGTACCTGATTATCAATTGGAATAGTGTCTGGGTTTTTTAAATCGTTTTATTAGGGGCTCATACAACTCTTATCACAATCCATACATACATTAATTGTGTAAAGCACATTTGTACATTCATTGCCCTCATCATTCTCAAAACATTTGCTCTCCACTTAAGCCCCTGGCATCAGCTCCTCAATTTTTCCCACTCCCTCCCCGCTCCCTCATGAACCCTTGATAATTTATAAATCATTATTTTGTCATATCTTGCCCTGTCCAACGTCTCCCTTCACCCACTTTTCTGTTGTCCGTCCCCCAGGGAGGAGGTCACATGTAGATCCCTGTAATCGGTTTCCCCTTTCCAATCCACCCTCCCTCTACCCTCCCAGAATCACCACTCACACTACTGGTCCTGAAGGGATCATCTGCCCTGGATTCCCTGTGTTTCCAGTTCCTATCTGTACCAGTGTACATCCTCTGGTCTAGCCAGACTTTCAAGGTAGAATTGGGATCATGATAGTGGAGGAGGAGGAAGCATTTAGGAACTAGAGGAAAGTTGTATGTTTCATCTTTGCTACATCACACTGTCTGGCTCATCTCCTCCCTGAGACCCTTCTGTAAGGGGATCTCCAGTGGCCTACAAATGGGCTTTGGGTCTCCACTCCACACTCCCCACCTCATTCACTATGGTAAGATTTTTTTTGTTCTGATGATGCCTGATACCTGATCCCTTCGACACCTTGTGATCGCACCCGCTGGTGTGCTTCTTCCATGTGGGCTTTGTTGCTTCTGAGCTAGATGGCCGCTTGTTTACCTTCAAGCCTTTAAGACACCGTGTCTGGGGTCTCAAGGCTTGTTTTCAAACAAGCAGCCATCTAAGTGAGCTGTCAACTAAGTCCACATCAAAGAAGCACACCACCCTGTGTGACCCAAAGATGATGATAACAAACCCACATATGAGGGAGGGAAAAGTATTAGAGCTTAAACTCTGAACACCCAATTGTGGAAGGCTGAGGACAGTGGTAACCCAAAATCCATCTGCAGAGTGTCTAGTCAGAATAAGCGTCTGGCAGACCCTCTCTAGCCACAGGCCTAGTAAATAGCTTTCATATCAAACAGACTATTGTACATTTGATTATAGTGGATCGAACTATGGCATAATACTTGGTCTGGTCAGTTGACCTCTCTCTTGACCCAACCAGGATTTGCTCTAGGCTAAAAATTTCTTCTCTGACTCTTAAAATATTGATGCTGGTCTTTTTTTTTCTTACTCTTTTAATTACTTTCTTCTTCCCATTTTTTTTTTTATTGTTTTCGTTGGCTTTCCCAGCTTGTGAAACACAGAGGGACTGAATGCATAGCTGATCCAATGGTTTATCAGGACTTGGGGGAGGGGCAGCAGGGGGAGGGGCAGAGACTTGTGGAACAAACAATGAATGTGGGAGGGTGTAGGGAACATTAGAACTGATTGTGATGATGTATATACAACTTTTTAAAAAAGCGATTTAACTATGGAAGTCTATGATATGTGAGTATTATATCAAGAAAACTACTTAAAAATAAAGAAGGAAATCAAACTTGACCATGGTTAACATAGGTGAAGAAGAGTTGTTGCTTAGGGGCATTGGATTTATGTAATGATGGCAGAATAATTTGAAAAAGGGTATCAATAATGGTGTACAACATGAACCGTATAATCAATGGCACTGAATTATACATGTGGAAGTTGTTGGATTGGAGAATGTTTTGTTGTGTATATTTTTGCAGCAATTAATAATAATTACATGATTAGCATTGAGTACAAGCAAGAAGAAAATGTTCTAGAATTGATTGTGGTGATGATTGTACAATTCTTTTTGATATGATTGAATTACTGACTTGTAAGACATATAGATGAAGTGCCAATAATACTGTTAGAAAAATGGGTCTTTAGATTTATTTTCATGAAATTTATTCCCAAATTGAAGTAGCAGTGTTTACAAAGATAACAGAGCTTGTGGTAATTTACAGAAATGTTACACCATGCACATTATGAAGTAGCTCAAACATATACATAGTAGGCTTCATGCTGAATAAATAATCCCATTTTTTTACATAAAAATATACTATTGCATTCTTAGTAACCACAGCTATTTTGCATATTTTAAGATAAATGATAAAATTTGGCCTTAAAAACTAAACAGAACAGGACTGAGTAGCATCTCTATTCTAATATGAGACTAATTTGACGCTCTCAGTCAGAAAATGAAAACTAGAGAACCAATGAATTTTGTTCTTACACAAAGCAAATCACTTCAACGTGAATAAGAATAATCTTATCTCTGCACTAACTTGGACCTCAGAGTGAACACTCAACCTGAGCAAATCAGGCTCTAAATCCTGACTGTTGTGCTCTCTTCCATTGCACGCAACTCACAGGGAAGAAGCCAGGCTTGCTCCTATCTGGACAGCAGAGAATTTGGAATTATATTTTATACAGTTTTTAGTCAGAATGCTTTAGAAAATCTGGAAATTACAAAAGTAGTTCTGTAAACACCATATGTATTAAATCTCCATAACAAATGTGCATGTTATTCTTAGGTAGGAATACATATTTTTGTCTGATGATAACATATTACTGAGTTTATGTTACAGTGATTTCAAAGCCAATAAAACAGCACCCCAAGTAAAAATAGAGCTATGGTGTCATGGTAGAGAAAGACTGTTCCAAGATTTTTAGGAATTCTCAGGTGATAGAAGTTGGGAGAAACAGAGCCAAAACTGTTTCCTACAAGAACTGCCCTGCTTATTGTTTAAAACAAGATAAGCTCTCTCCTTTTCTGCTTTAATTTTGGGGATTAAAAACTCTCTTCCTACACTTAAGAGGAAATGCCTTTTCTAAATTTTACTATTAATATCATTTTGCATAATGGAGGATTTCTATTACAAAAAAAATTGTTGAGTATTCAGTACTGCAAAATGGCAGGGATTAAATGAACACAACGAAGGATATGCGCGACATCGAGTGTTATGCATCTGATGAAGAAAGATTTCTATGAAGAAACAGGATATGTTTCAAATCAAAGATACTTGCATTCAGTGGCTGTCAAAAATTCTGGTTATGTTTTGAGCTAACAAGGCAAGTGGCAAATCTGCCAGCATTGAGAATGATCGGTAGTTGTAGTACTGGAGATACCAAAATACATTGGGTGCAGTGGCACCTACTCAACAATTTGCTTCTCAAAGAAAGCAATTATAGATTCTTGAATTCTTCATCTATTTTTCTTTTCTTCAGGGTGGGGGTGGGGGCAAGTTTCTCAGGGCACAAAACCTTTAAATAGAATATATTTTTAAAGAGTATTGTGTACAAGCAATTATCCTAATTTAAATATTCCTGGCCTTTTGGGGATAATACAAAAGAAAAAGATCCTAATATTTTCTTTGGAATACTTTTGTGGGACAGACTGTAAGCATAAGCTTTTACTATATCACCTAAAACTTCAAGCTTGCTAGCACACACTGACATAATCCTTCAGACCATCACTCATGAGAATAAGACTTTCTGCTTGGGCTCTTGTAGGCTTCAGAATGTTGTGCAGATGAATGGCCTTTATTAGGATAATGAAGGATCACTTCTTCAGGTCAATCTTCTAAGCCTCGTTAAATCCACAGATGTAGTTTGGAGTTAAAATACTTTGGAGAAAGCCAGGTCCTCTCATATTCATCCAGCTGCATAGCTGCTAAGGAAGGAGTAGAACATGGGCTGTTTCAAGCGCTGCTGGTCCTTCCTACACCAGGCAATCACGGTTCCCTCACTGTTCGCTGTGTACAAATGGTGGCCATCACAGGAAAATGTAAGGCTGAAAAATAAATTCAGTTCATACATTTTTATCTCATCATTGTATTGCCATTATGGTGAACATGTACAAGTTAGTGTAAAGAAGTTAAGATATTTTTACTGGAGCACAGTTATGAACTATCTGACAGTATACAACTCATTGGCTTAAATTATTATTCTAATGCAGTTTAATTACTTGTTAACACATTTGGAAAGCTCATTCTAACTAGCTTACATAGAATAAAATCAGGAGTCAAGAGATTATTATGTTCCTTCACTGCATGCTTTCTTTATTATCTAAATAATAAGTAGTTATAGGAAAATTTGAAACTATAACAGTATTTAATTTTTGCCTTGTAGATAGAATGATGGGATTATTTTATTTCCTTGAAAGAGAAATTCATAAAGATATTACATTAATGAAGAATTTCATTAACCTTTACAGTTAGTATATTAAAAGTAAATTTATCTTAATAAAGTACAGTTGGAATCACTGTCAATTGAATTTTTAAAGTCAAACTATTTGTTCACCAAGCCAAGAGTTGTATACTGGTTGAGTTGATTCTGCCTCAGAGTGACTGTAAATGATAGAGTAGAACTGCCTGATAGGGATTTCTAGGCTGTAATCTTTATGGGATGGAGCCCTGGTGGCACTGTTAGGTAAGCTTTGGATGGCTAACCACCAGGTTGGTGGTCCAAACCCACCAGCTCCTCTTAGGGAAAAAGCTTATCTACTTGGGTAAATATTTATATTTGGAAACCGTACACTCAAAAATGAGTCAAAATCCACTCAGTGGCAGCCAGTTTGGTTGGTTTTGGTTTGGAATCTTTAAGGCAGAATATCACTGGGTCTTTACTCCCATGGACCCCTGGTGGGTTCAAACCACCAACCTTGAGGTTAGCAGCTGAACACTTAGTATTGCACCACCAGGGTTCTGATTGATCGCAGACTTTTTCAGGAATTCTCTAAGAGGTCTGACCTAGATGTTACAGCAGTCTTTCAATAGACAGTAAGTTCCTGCTCTGGTTTTAAGTTTCAAGGAGACAAGGGCTGTGTCTTTCTCTTGGTACTGTGTCATGGGCAACCTGGAGTTTAATAAATGGTTGGCCTTTTATGATGATTATTGTGATCATATATTTATTTAAGTCTCTGTACTTTAATATCTAACAATCACAGTCATAAAATGAATTATGAAGAATAAAGGGTGAAAATATTTTACCTTACAATAGGCTTATGTGACTTAGGAAATGTAATTTCACGCACGGGTTTTAAGTCCCAGCTACTCCATAACCTAGAGGGGGAAAAATCATCATCTCATTACGCAAACTAAGATTACCCTTCCTAAAAAACTCTAGCGTATTTAATTATTTGTTACATATCATCTGGAAGGAAACAGTAAACAATTAAACGGTGTGGGAGCAGGCAACTTTATATACTTTGTATTATTATTCTACTACACATAGTAAAAAGATAAAAATTTATAACAGCAATTAAGCTATTTTTAGAAATAGCTATTTTTCAGAAAGTAAACAAGAAATAGTTGAAAAACCTATATCCAACGGTGATTTAAATGTCTAAGAATTAAATCATAATATGCCAATTTCTGAAAGTACTTTATATAGAAGAAAGCAAATAAAGAGAATCAAAACATCTCTTACCGTACAATTCCATTTTCCAACCCCCCAGCAATAACATTGATAGATATTCCTTCAGGTTGGTTGGAGAAAGCAATGGAACAAATGATTTCCCTGCAGTGGACATGTCCAACAAGGTCTCCATTCACTGTCCACAGTCTGAGGTCACTGCCTCCTCCAGCTAAAACACAAAAATCATCCCACAGTCACCACAAGTGGGCATCTCAGAGACCACTTACACTGGGTCCCAGAGGGGAATCCCTGCAGGCTCACTTATTTTAGTGATGCAGTTTAAATGACTATATTTAAGGCTGTGTCTGTAATCTGGAGCTAGTGGTTGGAGGCCTTGTGATGATGCATTTAACTTCTTTCAGGGAATAATATCATGCTAAAGAAATAAGTTGAGATACATGACAAAGTTTGGATGGCACAGTCTTATCATCCCTAATTTTATCTTTCCAAAAGAGCAATCACAAAAGAGGAGAATCTATTCTTCTCCTATATTAAGGTGATGACAGTATTTAATATTTTATAGCAAAGAAACAAACTTTCGAAGTGCTTCTCTAGACTACCAAATATCACAGACCCAAATGTCCAGTATTCTAATATTTCTCATTGTACTGATAAGGAGATTATTATCTAACAAAGTACCGGGACACAGGAGATTCAATAATTAAAAGAAGTACAATTGTAAATGGTAAACACATCTTTCATATGGTTTCATTTCACTCTTCTAAATTCAATACTTGATAAAAGATTAAAAATACAAACAGGTAAGCTAACAGATAAGTAGTACTAGTAAGGTTAGAAAGCTTGTAAGTCATTGAAAACATATCCATGAAAGCTTTAATATAGGGATTGGTGATTATAACCCAGAGCTATTACATGGCTTAATCCTGTGAAGTACAAATATCTACATAAGCTCCTGGATTTTTTGAAGTATGGTTTGTAAATTAATAGTCAAAGAATTATCTTCACCAGAAACTTGAGATATAAATAAATAAATACTAATCTTCCTATGACTATAAACACCAAAAATCTAGACTCTCACCAAATATTACTTAGCTTTCGGGTAGATTTGAACACATCAACTAAAAAATCAGAAACTATGGAATTTCTAAAATAAAAATAAAACATCTCTGCTCTCTTTGTACATCTTCATGGAAAAGAAAATTAATGGGAGTGCCTCTTTTTTCCTGAATTTTAGAATTTGGACTATTACTTTCACATGCCACTGGCAACATAGGACCAGGGTGTGGTGTCTTATTCTAGCTCAAATATATACAAAAGGCTTCCAAAAGCTCATAGAAAAATGCAATTAGGAGATACTGAAACTTTTTGAAGTTCCCTTTATATTTTATCCCGTGGTAGAGTAGCTAAAGATACAACAACAACAAAACATAAGCTACCTAGTACAACATTTAACAGTTTAATAAATTTCATATATTTTTACCATAAAAAACACACCCCTTAGTAAGCCCTAGGGAAATTTATAGCAGAAGAAATGAGCATCTTAATGTAACTTCAGCCACAGTATAGAACTGAAAAGATTACACACACACACACACACACACACACACACACACACGCTTCAAAAAATGTGTGGAAAAATTCCATTAGCTTTTATCCGAGAGCATTTTGAAGCCCCTCTCATATGTATTTCCTCAAAAAACTACAAATATGTATGTGTTTATCTTTTAAAATACACACACCCACCCACAAGGATAAGGAAAAAGTATTACTGGGGCTCTAGT